ACCCTAAACCCTAAACCCTTGTTTCCCAGGTACCTCAGATTCAGGTGGTTGAGAAGGTGGTGGAGCGTGGGCCCCAGGAGCTCCAGGACTGGACTGGAGTTGAGCCTAGGCTTCAGCACTTCAAGCGGTGCCTCTGTCAGCAAGGTGTGGGGTCCCTCTCTCTTAGGGGCACTTAGACATAATTTTTAATCTTTGGNNTTTGGCTACTATAAACCCTAAGAAGAAGCTAAAATTAAAATTTTTGCTAGGGGTCTAAGTTCAGTACAGCTCTGTTTAGGGCTTCAGATGACTCCGAGCCGGGGGGGGGGGGTCTGGCTTTGTGGACTTCTGGCTTGGTTCAATTCTTGGGCGTCCGAGTCCGGTATCTTGACAGCCGCCTGATTTTTTGCATAACTTTACAAGCTAGCACATTTGGGGGTTTGCGAAAATAGGGGACCCTAAAAAAGCAGCCTCAACAGTAGGATCCTTATGAGAAAGGACCCCAAAATACGGCCCCTAATTTTCAGGAAACTCCCCGTTTGGTTTCGATCTGCTTCAGATGCTCTCGGCAGCTGATTGGATAGAGAAGCCAAAACGCCTGAATCCTTGCAGCCTGGTAGAACCTTAGATCCCAGTTCTGTGCCGAACAAGTAAAGCTGGCTGCGTCTAGAACCCTGAACCCTAAACCCTAAACCCTGTAAGCCGTAGGCCTGTTTGCTTCCCCAGGGTTCCGCAGATGGAATCCGTGGAAGGGCGCGATCTCCTCGCTGCCCCGACGACTTTTGGTTGGTTTTGGGCTTTTTTGATCGGGCTTTTTCAAAGTATTTGATCGTCGTTGACGGCGTGCGTTGACCCCGTTTCTTGGTCCAAGGCTCCGATGGGTTGTGCTACTCGGATGGGTTGTGCTACTCGGGTTTGTGTCGTCAGGCGTTTTGGATTCATGACCCACCTTAATCAGGGTAGCAAGAGGGTTCGACTTGACTCAGTGACCTGGTACTTCAGTGGCTCTGTGAAAGCACTTGGAAGCTACTGTAGCAGAAACAACGCATTTTGGAGTTAAGCAGCAGGGCCGTCGCCTTCCTGAAGAGCAGGGGCCAAACTGGGACCCTCGATGGCGTAGACTCAGACTCTTTGCCTGCGAGCCGCCAAAAGTGGTCCTAAACCAAAAATCGGCCGTCATGTGGCCAGGAGTACATCCGCCTGCCCCCGGAGCGCCGCCAGGCAGTGACTGTAGGGCACTGCTCAGAGGTAGAGCTTGGAGCCTAAGGCCTGTCTGGGCTTTCTGGCTTGCGGGGTTCAGGCTAGTGCCGTGGCCTTGGGGCTAAAGTGACATGCCAGGTAAGTATGTGAAATGGACAACTGCAGTCGGGACTCGATGTCAGGAATGCCAGGTTCCCTGCAGATCCTGTCTCTTATGGCAAACCATCGACTTGAAAAAATGTATGCCAAGATGCGAAAACCCCCGCAGCCGCGGATCCTCAGCTGAACATGTCAAGGTCAGGAATCTGGACTTATCTGCTTACTTGCTTACCCCCCAGTGGAAGGCTTCGAAGGATGTTCGCCCGAAACACCTTCACCCCATCACTTGGCCGCGGCAGGCTGAGCGGGAGTTCGAAGTCGTAGAGGAGGCATCGCCTTGCATCTGCTCGTGGTCGTTGAGAGCCGTGTCCAGACCAGGCAGATATGATATGGCATGATACTATATATATATATATATATGTATATAACATGGTATGATATGATATGATGTTATATTAAGGTATATTTCCCTTCAGGTTGGGGAGGAGCTGCCTCTTGAGATCGCAGAGCCAATGGTGGAGCAGCGTGGCGAGTGGCTGCACGCCCGCTGCCTGCACGAGTCTTTGCGTTATGCTTATTTATTTCAGTATATCATTATTGTATTGCAGTATACTACAGTATAGTACAGTATATTACCTTACATGACATTGCATCTACCGTGGATGATGGGACGTAGCAAGCAAGGTTTCATGTTAAGTACCTTAGTTGAGTTACAAGTGATCATAGGTAGATTTCCACCTGCTTAGTTACCTTGTTTAATAACTGTCGTTACTAAGTCCCATGATCCTCCTCCATATAAAAACATGGTTATTTGATTACAATGCCAAAATATAGATAATATACTTCCAAAATCATGAAAATAGATCCTCCAAGTATTGGTTTCGTAAGCCCGTGGTCCGAAACTTGTTCCCGGATCATCGGGCTAGAGAAGGATAAAGGTGATTAGGTAATATAGGGGCCTTAATAATTACCTATATTGTTTTAGCCTAAACCCTAAACCCTAAACCCTGAACCCTAAACCCTTAACCCTAAGGCTCTG